AAAAGTTTGACCGTTATACCGAGTGATCACCGTTATAATATCGTCGTCGAGACAGTTGTGTATGATCACGGATGGTGACGCATTCCCATTGAGTTAACATATCGTTACGCTGTGGCAGTGAATTTCGGCCGAACACCATGTCGCGGACACTTTACCATTGATCAAAATTGATGATCTTGCTCGTGCATTTGTTGGTCGAATATAAAATACGGAGACCATTTCAGAAACAAAATTATCATTGAGCGATAACTTCAACTGCATATGGCAGCCACCGCTTTAGGTAGACACGAACACTAACGAACAATAAAAACGGTACAGATTTGAATACCCGCTGACCTTTACAATGATGCAAAAGTGGAGCAGGCGAGTGGGGGAAGAAACCCAGCCACACCACATTGGGCGCATGAACACCAATCACTCGGTGTCTTTCTGCTTCTGTTCCTACCTATAGCTCTTGCGAGGCAATGTCTGAAGCGGCGACATGCATTCCAACTACAAGAGAAGACCTCTAGTTATTTTAAGCGAGCGCTCCTGCCTGGTTGCGCGACACTCAAACGTCTAAATATAATATTGGCCAATCAGAGACAGATGATGAAACCAGCCCTAAAGCTGATAGAGAGATAAGATAAGATAAGACCTTTGTGTCACCTTTTTGAACTCTCGATCTCTGCGCCTTTTCTCTCTCCTTCCTTCGACTTTTCTCTTTCTTCCCCCCGCAATAATCCTACCCTGTACTCTCTGTTTGATTTGCCTACTTGTCTTACACGCTTCTCCACCACTGATTGTCACCACACTCACTTGTCTCACCTCAAGTCCTGGAAAATTGTCCAGTTCTTCCGGTATTTTGGCTCTGGTACATCTTCTATGTTTACTACGTATTTAAGCATCTCACCAAACCCAGAACACCTCAAACACAAAGCCAACAGCATGCTGGAGCAATGTACTCGATGGCGATGAGGTGCATGCTTCTGCTCCATCCCCCAGCTGTCGGCGAGGACCTGGAGCACAAGCCTGGAGTCTGAGGCTATCACATTTCGAGTCGATGGTCACTATTCGCATCCCCACCCGCCTTCTGTCAGAGTTGGAGCCCTAAAGTGGACGAGTGCTGTCATCGACTGCTAGCTTCACGGTCTGTAAGCTCTAATTATTTTGTCGGATTTCCTGCACTCGTCTACTGCTGCTGCTCTCGTGTCGTGTAATAACTTTGTTAGTCGTTTTAACCTCGAATAATGCTGCATCATGTACTATATAATATTCACAATGAATGTCTTGTCATTGGAATCATGGGCAAGATTGCGAGTCCTCAACATATGGTCTGAGTTTTTATCATACGGCATAAATCACCAGCCAATCTTATCGTGTAATTATCATGCAGGCTCCGTCAGCGGTAAGATAGCCATCAATATTATAATATCATCCCTGATCTGACCATTTCACCGTCTGATTTTGGTCTGATTTCCCATATGTTAAAAACGGACTTTACGCTCCACTCGTGCTGGAGATTCGAAATATCATTAAGGTACGGTGTTAGTTATAACGGATTCTACTACTGCTCATGTACTTATATTCGGT